GTTTGAGACCTGTCTCGGTCCAGAACTGAGTTGACTCAGTCCAGAACTGAGACGGGTCCCAAACTGAGGTACAACATGCATATCAGGTCCGGAGATGGATGCGCATTTTGATTATTTTAAGAATTCTTATTACAATTATCCACTTCTACGAAAACATTTTGAATTTGGGCACTGTCTTTTCGAGTTGGATTACCTACGCACAAACAACTACGTTGAACAAAGTTTCGGCATCTTTAAAAGATATAATTTTTGCAAGGACGCAAGCGCATAATCTAGTACAAGTATTTCAGTTTGTAGTAACAAATATGGAGGGATTTTACGAGCGGAGGCTGCTTGGAATTACGCATAAACATCCTGGACACTTACGTGTTGCAAACCGTTTTTTGCGCTCTGGTTGGGAAGAAGTGAATGTGAATTCTATTAAAGAAACAAGTATAAGAAACAAATTTTCAATTCTTAGTACAAGCCAAGATGATCTTTTCTATATTGTGAACGGTGAATTTGGAACTTGTACTTGTCCTGTTGGAGTATCCGCAAACAGTTGCAATGAAATATCACGTTGCAATACTTGATTTTATACCTTAATTGACATTTCAAAATCGTATGGTATATGCCTATGTTGCGCTTGGTAAGTGAGATTGTAGTTTAAAAATGTTTGTAAAATGTATTTAGACACTGTCTTCTTTAGGTTATACCTCAGAATACATCCTTTTATGCATCATTATGAGCAAAATTCACTCCGCAGGATCAAGAATTTACGTTGCAAAGTAGTTCCCCTAATAATGTTCTTGATAGAAACATTGAGTAGGGGTATAAAGATTCTCTAATAATTTGTAATTCTGCTTGAAAAAAAATTCTAAAATATTTGTTATATTTATTGATTCTTCTAGGGCATCTAATAAGGAAATTACTGAAGTCGATTGTACTATGCGTTTGCTATTTTTTAGAGGAAACTATCAAAATGCTAGTCCTCAATTATGCACTGCACTAGACAAGTTTGCAGAGAAATATCGTTTAGCAAAATCAAAATCTATTTCCCAGCTTACTTCCTATCTCTATGACCTTAATCATAATTTAGCCCAACAGCCCGTGTTCAAAGTGGTTCGATGATACGTGTTCAAATTGAATCTGTTAAAAGACGAATGACCGAAGGTTCTGGTGGTAGAAAGTGAAAGCTACCTAATACTATCTGTGAAGAAAAGGAGAATTTGGATCCTAGAAAGCAACGGCTAAAAAGTCATAATTTAGGCATGCATATAGCGAAGAATCGGCCAAATTGAAGGTAATTTAATTTAATTTAATTTATTTTATTAGCTTAGCATTATGTAACATAACGTTTATTAGCGTAACATTTATTCATTATAGCATTCGCCTAGCTTTTTTGTTACTTTTTTCAATGCAAATGGTAAAGATGATTCCAAAGTACTTTATTGAGTTTATTTTACATATGCATTTTCAGCATTTCGGGGGAAATAATAGTACACAGTGAACCCGAACCCCGGATATAATGAATTTGGCTTATAGCAAAGCTTTTTTGCTGCACGGAAAATTTTAATAGTAAAATTGTTTGGATATAACAAGGTTAATTATAAATCCCTCTATATTGGATATACCGAAGGGGAACCTCCACACCATCATACTTAAAATTCCCTCGATAAACTGAAGTTTGTACTACAATCGTTATATATTGTCTTGTACTACAAAAAAGTTTTCATTGTATAAAGGCTATCATCGTTCTATGCTTCTTATACAACATTTATTATATATCGATATATAGATCAAGTATTAATAAAGTCTCCGCTGAATCTCGGTGAATGGAGTTGTCAAGTACTCAATTTATAGATTATTTAGCCACCGAGATTGCAAAATATAAAACCAAAATCCTAGAGCGTAGCATTAACTGGAGCGCAAAAAAAAAGACCTATGTCAGAAAAAACTAAACAATCTTTCTCTACCAACAAAGATCTTGCTAACAAAGAACAGTGGCTTAGTGTTGATGAAAGGAAGATCAAAACGTCAAAATCGTAAAAGTGATTATCCAAATATTGAAGAGGCACTGGGTCTTTGGATCAAAAATGCTGTTCGCGACAACATAACACTCACAGATTATATTATAAAACAAAAAACAAGGCAGTTTGCCACACTGTTTGAATACCAGAGTTTTAATGCAGCAAATGGGTGGTTGCAAGGATTTAAAAAAAGAAATAACCTACAATCCTACAAAAAATGCGGTGAAGCAGGAAGTGTTAATATCGATCTTTTACCGCAACAGAGATTCGAATTGAAATTGTTTCTAGCTGACTATAATGTATGCGACACATTTAACTGATGAAACTGGAAATTAGAACCGCGAAAAACTCTCACTCACGGGCCTGTCAGTGGGAAGGATTAGCAAAAGATCGTGTCTCTCTTTTAGTTATGTGCAATGCAGTTGGAGATGAAAAGTTGCCACTTTTGTTTATTCACAACGTTGGGAATCCACAAGCTATGCGTGGTATTGATAAAAAAATTTTTGGGATGTGGTACTATCACGATAAATCAGCTTGGATGCAACGGTCGATATTTGCTAGTTATCTTAATCAACCGAATGAAATATAATTGAAAAATTATCTTACATGTAGATAATGTCTCAAGTCACAAGACCGATAATCTCGAACAGTCGAATGTTAGAGTAATTTTTTACCGCCGAATACTACTAGTCAAATGCAACCTCTTGACCAAGGCATAATATACAGCATGAAGGTTATTAATTTTCAGTCAGGCTTGTTACTAGGCGCGTTTTTAATGAAATAAACTTACCTAACTTCATTTGGTTAACTATTTTTTAGGCTCAATATCACAAGATCTTATGCTCATATCTCATTGATCAATATAATGCGCGTCTTATTGGTTGCGCCGCAGCTCCAAAACTCACAATTTTGGATGCAATTAATTTTCCCGGAATCAGGTGTCATCTAAGACTATAATGTCTTCTTGGCGTCGTGCTGATATCCTCTCACGGCATATTTGAACAGAATTTATCAGAAATAAATACCGCTGCGAATGCGACTCATGAAACTGAAATTGATATCGTTAATCTCATTCAACAATTACCGATAGATAATCCAATAAGCGTAGAAAACTATATAACAAATCTATAGACTTGAAGAATAATGCCACTTTAACGCAACAAAGAGTTGACATTATCAACCAGGTTGACGGTCAAGAAGACGAAAACGTTCAATCGGAACAAATTGTTACCAGTTCAGAGGCTTTAGTTGGAATTGATAGTGTTTTGGCATATATTGCTCAGAAAAATCTTGGAGTAGGAGTGTCGGTTGTTAGGTGTTTGACTAAATTGAGAAGAACGATATCACAAAGCAGTCTAGATGAATTTGAATTTGTAAATATTGAACAATCTTGAATTACGTTTACAATAAAGATATAACGGAACTTCTTTATATAACAATGCGTATTACTATAAGTAGATATGTTAGATATACAGTACACCCCCGACAAAATTATAGATGCAAGCGGCGATCTGCTTCACAATCACATCACTTCAAATCTAGTTTACTCAGAAATCCACATAATAAAAATTAATATAATTTACATAGTTCGACTTGCCAAGAAATGCTCTTTTTAATGATATAAATAGCAAAGTTTGGTATGCCGAATTTATACGTACAACGTAAGAATTAGCTATCAAGACATATAAAAATTGATTTTTTTTAAGCCACATGTGTACAAACAATGTCTTAATAACCGCCATTAAAATTTATATCATTTTGAAGCGAAATGATTGTACTTTAAGTTATATGAAACCAATAAATTTTAGCTGCTACCCTTGTGAAGTGAGAGCGTCGTAAACCCCTGGCAAAATTCTCAACTAATTCGATGTCGATCACCTGATTGTGCTTGCATCGACATTTTTTTCAACAAGCATAACTCCCTCAGTTTCCATGCAAATAGCTTTAAAATTTTTCTTCTTTTGTAGTGCTGAATCTAAACTTTCAGAAAAAAACTTTGAAAACATTGTCTGAAATGCCACGAGCTGCAGAATTGTCTGATTTTGAGCGTGGAATGATTGTCGGTCTACACTTGGGGAAAAGGCATACGCAACAGGAGATAGCTGTTATAGTCAAACGTTCAAAAGGAGCTATTCAAGGTGTAATTGACCGGTATATGGATGGTGGGTGCATTACGGCAACACAACGGTCTGGTAGGCCATCCAAACTGAGTAAACGAGATGAGTGGCGATTAGTAAGGGAAGTCAAGAAAGATAGGAGTATTACGCTCGAGCCGTTAACAGAGGCGTTTAACAAGTGTCTTACTATTTCAGTAAGTTCAAGAACAGTACAGCATACTCTGCATAATTATGGGTTTTATAGTAGAGTTGCAAAAAAAAAGCCATTAGTAACTGAGAGAAATAAGAAGATACATATAGAGTGGTGTAAGAGGATGAAGAATTGGAAGGAAGAATGGGATAGGGTAGTTTTCAGCGATGAGTCAAGATATCTAATATTTAAAAATGATGCTCATAAGCTTGTCTGGAGGAGGTGTGATGAAAAGTATAAGCAGGACTGCTTAGCACCAACTGTAAAGAACTCAGATGGGGTAATGGTGTGGGGATGTTTCTGTAAAGACAGGATGGGGCTGCTGATTTTAGTGGATGGGAATATCAATGCTGCTAAGTATATACAAATATTAGACTGCCGTATCTACAAGAGCTTGGCATAAAAAATTATATTTTTCAAGATGACAATGCCCCAGCCACACAGCAAAGTCAACAGTTAAATGGAAAGAGTCAAAATTAATTAATTCACTTGAGTGGCCTTCCCAGAGTCCTGATCTTAATCCGATAGAACATTTGTGGGATAAATTAGAAAGGAGAGTTAGGAGAGATAAAGTAAAACCAAAAAATAAAAGGGAATTGTTCACTGTGCTGGAGAGAGAGTGGGGTCAGATACATGGTAATGTGATCAATAATTTAGTAAATAGTATGCCTCAAAGAGTTAAGGCTGTGTTGGATGCAAAAGGGGGTGCCACACCATATTAATTACATTATTAAAAAAAAGCATTTCTTGGCGAATCGAACGATGTAAATCATATTGATTTTTATTATGCGGATTTCTGAGTAAACTAGATTTAAAATGATGTGATTGTGAAGAAGATTTCAAATGATCGCTGTTTGCACTTATAAATTTGGCAGGAGGTGTATGTATGAAACCTGGATATAATGAATCCCTCGATATAACGAAGAAAAGTGTCTGTACTGTCTCCTTCATTATATCCAGTTTCACCGTGTATGTGTAAAAATTGGGGGATAGTTAGATCAATTGACAGTCGTACCATATCATCGGTTGTGTGCAAGATAATATAATGCGCGTCACATTACACAGTATATTCAGGCTTTATTATTGGCTATCGCAGCTCTCACACACCATGCTTCATATTTATACTTATAAGGTTGCGTACGACAACAATTAATAATATCAAGTAACAGTAATGCCATCCAACACATGAACACACGTCTTCTCATATATATACACACCAAGATGCTTGTCTTCGTTGCACATGCCTTTTCTTCCCCCAAAGCATGACACAATGTCACTTAAACATTAGGAGGATTGGGAAACACCAAATCACCAACTGCCCATTTTCATAGATCATGCACTTATATACAATATTTACTAAATTACCAATTAATAATAAATTCTTATGCCAACACTCTCAGTGAAACAAACTTATTCTGTTGAACAGAATAGACAGAATACAATTAATTATGTGGGTTGTGGTAGTGTCCAAAAGGTTTATTTCAACCAAGTCCCATATTCTACAATAATACAATAATAGCAACCTATCTTTCTTTTTCCATAATAACAGGCTTGCTCTGAAAACTAAATGACAATTTTAATTTATAATACATGAACTCACATACTTTAAATAACATTTGACATCTGTTAATCCATCACTATTAGTAAATAACAAGTAGTCACATGATTACTATGCTATACTTCATATTATCAATTAGCACTAAATGACAAAGTTTCAGTAAAAATGCAAGATAATGTCATTAGCCTGTACAACATTAAAGCATAATATGAAAGTGACTTGTGACTATTGTGAGA